ACCGTGGCGGCGATGAAAGATGACGGCCGTCGCAGCTAATTCGATCCGCACCCTCCTCGCCAGCAGCACCATCGCTCAAACCCAAATACTCAGACCTTATTCTCCCTCTTATATTTACCGATTTCCCCTTCTTCTCCACCGCAACTACCATGGTCGCCGCCGCATCCACTCCTCCCGTCGGAATGTGGTGGAAATTCTGGAGGAGAGGGGCCTCCTGGAGTCCCTCACCAGCGACGCCCTCCGCCGCCAGTCGGAGATCAGAGTCTACTGCGGCTTCGACCCCACCGCCGAGAGCCTCCACCTCGGCAACCTCCTCGGGATAATCGTCCTCTCCTGGTTCCTCCGCTGCGGCCACCGCGCCGTCGCCCTAGTTGGCGGCGCCACCGGCCGCGTCGGCGACCCCTCCGGCAAGAGCCTGGAGCGGCCCGAGCTCGACCTCGCCTCCCTCGAGAGAAACGTCTCCGCCATCTCCTCTACCGTCCGCAGCATCCTGGAAAGGTCGGGTTCCTCGTCCGTTGCAATCCTGAACAACTACGTCTGGTGGAAGGACGTGAAGCTGCTGGATTTCCTGAGAGACGTGGGCCGGCACGCGAGGGTTGGGGCCATGATGTCTAAGGAAAGCGTGCGAAAGCGGCTCGAGTCCGAACAAGGTTTGAGCTACACCGAGTTCACGTACCAGCTGCTGCAGGGGTACGATTTCCTGCATCTCTTTAGAGACGAGGGCGTAAATGTCCAAATCGGCGGCAGTGACCAGTGGGGTAACATCACCGCCGGCACTGACCTCATTCGCCGGATTATGAATACTTCTAATGCTGCTGCCCCCGACGAACAGGGAGGATCTGGTGGGGCGGCCTACGGACTCACATTCCCTCTTCTCCTAAAGAGTGATGGTACCAAGTTCGGTAAATCCGAAGACGGCGCAATTTGGCTGTCTCCTTCTCTATTGTCCCCCTACCAGTTTTATCAGTACTTTTTTTCCATATCCGATGCTGATGTAGTTAGGTTCCTCAAGATTCTGACTTTTCTACCGATGGACGAGATTTCCTCGATCGAGAAACAAATGCACGAGGCGGGCTACGTGCCCAACACTGCCCAGCGTAGGCTTGCTGAGGAGGTGACTCTTTTTGTCCATGGGGAGGAAGGGCTGAGTGAGGCGCTCAAGGCTACGCAGGCTCTGAGGCCCGGTGGGGCCGATTCCAAATTGGATTGGAGGAGTATAGAGGCTATTGCTGATGATGTTCCCTCTTTTACTTTGGGGCGAGATGAGGTTTTAAGCCTCTCGCTTTTGGAGCTTTCGGTATCGACTGGTTTGATTGAGAGTAAGTCGGCCGCTAGGCGTCTGCTCAAGCAGGGAGGTCTGTATTTGAATAATCTCAGGATTGATAGTGAGGCCAAAAGGATTGAACCGAATGATATTGTGGATGGAAGGGTGATGCTTTTGTCTGCCGGGAAGAAGAATAAGATGATTGTGCGGATATCGTCATCTTGATTTTTTTGTTTTGTAGCTTCTTATGATTCTTTTTTACTCTGGACTGAAACTGCTTCTGAGTAATATGTGGTAGAGAGAGATGAGAATTGTGTCGTGAGCGTGACATAAGAGTGGAAGATAGCTATATCATTCAAAATGTGAGTAGTGTTTTCTTATACTTCTCAAATGTCTTCAATCTTTGCCGCCCTTCATCATTTGCAGTATGAACGATTTGCTTGCAATTGTATGATGTTGACATGCGGATATTATCATGAAATTTCTATTATATGCCTCTTGTTTATGTGGTATTATCACGATTTGCTTGCTGTGTATTCATATCAAGTTTTACCGTGTCAGACATGTGGTATCTATGAAATGAAATATGATTGCTAGTTAGTATTGGTCGCCTTTTAATTCTCATTAGTAACTCCCCTTTTGGATACATGTTTAGATCTTCAATAGTGAACAATGGCAGGGAGAAAATGCTTCTTTTTATGTGCAGTTGGTGATGCTACAGTAATGATCAACATTTCTTTTATGTGCATGAAAACACTTTGATCTTTCGTATTTCCTTTCTCATGAATACATCGGTGCTTATGCTACTGAGAACTTGCACCTGTTTGAATTATATCTGGTCTTTCTCGAGTCCTGTAGGACATACGAGCCTATCCAAAGTACTTTTCGACAAGTTTGTCAGTCATTTTTTATTCCATCATCTAATATTGGCCCCTACTCCCCGTTCTTGGAGGCAATGCTTACTACATTTCGAAATGTTTCAGTCCCTGCATGATTTGTATAATTCGACTATCTGCGACATTGGCTGTATGTTTATTTTTGGGTTTTCTTAGCTGGTGACTATCGGTGACGAATATTCATGTATTCGTGTTTCTCAATTTCCAGAATCTATCGACTGGTTCATATATTTGTGGCCCATACATTCAGCAATTGAAGTATGAATGTATGCTGCTCCTTGCATGTGAAGTACAGAATCCTTAACAAAACAGAGTTCCTATTGTGACAAGTATGGGGTGAGACAATGTCCTTGTCCTAAATAGGGAAACTAACTTTTCTTACAATAGTTAACAAGAATTACATGACTGGCCTGGAGTGTCTCCAGCACATACAAAATCTCCACAAAAGTCTCTCCAACCTTACTCCTCACCACCCCCTCACTCTCAATCTCATTGCCACCAATTTACGCCGGCCTCTCTCTCTCTCTCTCTCTCTCTCTCTCTCCCTCCCTCTCTCTCTCTCTCTCTCTCCAACCAAAAATCAAGGAAAACACAAGTCAAGAAAACAGAAAGAAAAAAAATTGTGAGAGAAAATAGAGGAAAAGTATTACCAAAAATAATCAATCACAAAGCATTGGTTTCTCTCTCTTTTTCCCATCCCCATGAATCATGAGCTTTGAATTCAAATCCATCACATTCCTTTAGCCTGAGAGAGCCTATATCATTCATGAACAAGGAAAAGCAGCAGCATTGGGCAAAGCTAATCAGCCAATACTAACGATGCCTACGGGCGCGCATGTTGCTCCCTACCCTGTGCGCCCACGCAGGCAGCAGATTTCGTTCTCCCCATATACGCTCATTATTATCCCGCTTCTCGTGTTATTTTCGTCCAATTCGGCGTTAGTGGTGGCACAGGAGAACGCACCTCAGGCCCTCCTCAAATTCAAAAGTTCCCTAGTCAACGAAGACCCTGCCCTCGCCAACTGGGGCTCGTCCGCAGCCCCATGCTCTGGGGACCGTCCCAACTGGACCGGAATCCTCTGCTTCAATGGCTACGTTTGGGGGTTGCAGCTCGAGAACATGAACCTAAAGGGCCAAATAGATGTCGATTCCCTCACCCCATTGCGTTTTCTGAGGACCCTGAGCTTCATGAACAATAGCTTCGAGGGCGTGATGCCCGACTGGAGAAAGCTCGGGGCTCTCAAGTCCTTGTATCTGTCGAATAACCAGTTCTCTGGACGGGTCCCGGACGATGCCTTCAAGGGCATGACCTCCTTGAAAAAGATTTACATGGCTAACAACAGGTTCACAGGCCCCATCCCTACGTCCCTTGAATCCCCCAAGCTGATCGAGTTGAGGCTCGAGAACAACCAGTTCACGGGTACAATACCTTCCATCAGCTCGGACAACCTCAAAACCCTCAACGTCTCGAACAACGAGCTGGAGGGCCCCATCCCCAGGCCTCTGCTCAACATGGACCCAAGCTCTTTCTCAGGTAATTGACTAGCTTTTTGGTTTTCTTTTCCCTTTATCTTTATGGTCATCCTTTTTTTTTTTAATTCTTTTAATGTGAAACAGGCAACAAAGGGTTGTGCGGGGCAAAACCACCTCTGCAGCCATGCGAACCCCCGATCCCGCCACCAGACATGGAGCCTCCCCTCGTATCTCCACCAGAAGCCGGTGGGGCCAACCTCAACGGCGGCAATTCACCTGCATCTTCACCATCACCTGTAAGGATCGCGATAATCGTGTTATCAGCCCTGCTCGGGCTTTTCTTGGTTGTGCTGCTTTTCCTCGTGTACAGAAGGAGCCGCAAGAGCAGCCAGACACCCCGGCTCGGGAGGGAACTTACACCACCGGCACTCACACACTCGGCCTCTAAAAAAATTAGCGTCTCGAATGAAGTTGCTGCCGCCCAAATGGGTGGGGTCAGTGAAATGAAAGGCGGCGCGGAACAACAGCAGCAGCAGCAGCAAGGAGGAGGAGGAGCGGCGGGTAAACTGTCGTTCGTGAGGGATGATCGACAAAAGTTTGATTTGCAGGATTTGATGAGGGCTTCGGCTGAGGTGTTGGGAAGTGGAAATTTTGGGGCTTCTTACAAGGCAGTGCTGGTGGATGGGGAGGCACTTGTCGTCAAGAGGTTCAAGCAGATGAATAATGTGGCCAAGGAAGACTTTCATGAGCACATGAGGAGGCTCGGCAGGCTCAAGCACCCAAATCTGCTGCCTCTGGTTGCCTACTTATACCGAAAAGAAGAGAAGCTCCTGGTCTTTGAATACGTCGATAACGGCAGCCTGTTCGCACATCTTCATGGTTGGCATAAAAAACGGAATTCTAAAACTATAGATATATGGTTCCTGAAAGTAATTATTTAATCAAAACTAAGTTTTATTTAATGAGTATTGTTGTGGTTGCAGGAAAACATTCGGCAGGGCTTACTTGGGCGAGCAGGTTAAAGATCATAAAAGGAGTGGCAAAGGGGTTGAATTATCTACATACCGAGCTTCCAGCCCTGAACATACCTCATGGACACCTAAAATCGTCGAACGTGCTAATAGACGATGACTTCAACCCCAAGCTGATGGACTACACTCTGGCGCCAGTGGTGAACCCCAGCCAGGTGCATGAAATCCTGGTGGCTTACAAATCGCCGGAGTATGCCAAAACTGCTCGTGCTTGCAAGAAAACAGATGTCTGGTGCTTGGGGATTCTGATACTAGAGACCCTCACGGGGAAGCTCCTGGCCAAGTACCTTTCACAGGGTAGCGGGCAGTACAGTGCCGAGTTAGCTGGATGGGTGAATGCGATTGCTGGGGAACCGAGTGCACTAGTTTTCGACAAGGAAATGGAGATTAGTGACGAAGGCTGCAGGGTTCAAATGGAGAAGCTTTTACAGATTGGAATAGCTTGCTGCCAGGAGGACCTGGACAAGAGGTTGGATTTGGAGGAGGCACTCAAACAGATCGAACAAGTACACGAGTCATGAACTTGATTGATTTAATGAAAACAGAAATGGGAAAAAAATAGTTCAATACATAATAATTTTATATTTATGTCCTTTATAACTTGTTTACATCAATTTCTTTTTCTTTTCTTTTTACTTCTTTTCTTCTGGAGACCGTCAGTATTTCTGTACAAACCGAGCTCCAATATTTTCCGCCATTTTACTGTAAAGTGGAATCATAGAACGAAATGTACCCTTTTCGTTCTAGCTATGGACTATTTAGGAGAGAATTTGAGGGTCGGAGATCATACTTGGCCTTTCGTAGGGGAAATTAAGATAAAACTATATTTTTTTTTCCTGTCGAAAGATGGATTTTATATGCATTTAGTTGACATTTTCATGATTGGATTTAAGTCCATGTGTATATATAATTTGCATCAGACTTAAGTCTAGTGTTAAAGGAATCGCGTTTTCTTCGGAAATGCAGATTTAACGACATCAGGAAAACCTGTTAAGCTAGCAGCCTAGAGTGTATTCCAAATGATATCACCACTTCATGTACGAAAGTGTCTTAATGATAACCTCACTAGAGTCGCACTAATATATACACATTTAACATATCTGGATTGGAGTACCCGAAGAAACACATAACTTGTATAGAGGATCAGCAGAACTCGATTTATTTTCCATTAATAAAAGGTGGAAGACGATACAAAGGTATTAAAGCAACAACCCGTCTCATGACTATCCTTTCTTCTTAGAGTGAAATCTTTTCAACAACAGGGATGGCTTTATTTAGTCAACAAGCCCCATAAAAAGTACAAACTTGGACACTTTGCGGCATCTCGCCTCCCAGAAATCCTTGCCAGGCACGTGCCATTGGTGTTCGAATTCGCAAACACGATGTAGAGACACAATAAACACAATCCTTCAATTATTCCCAAACAGATATCACTGTATGTAATATTGATGAAGACTTGCACAGATTCAAGAACATCAACAGGAGAAGAAAGAAATCGTAAACATCACTTGGAATAATTACTCACGGACGTAAGCAACAGTGGCGCCAGAGACTGCTCTCCCTAAGACAGAGAGCACGTAAAGAGAAGAAACTCGGAGTTATACTTGGAACAACTGAAGTTCCAGATGTTATTTCAAAGGAGTATGAACAATATCAGAGAGTCGATTTCATGGTAATCACTTGGATTTTAAACACGATTTCGAAGGAGATTGTAGAAGCGTTTATATACGTTAATATCTCCAAACATCTTTGGGATGAGTTAGCTGAACGATGTGGTGAAAGCAATGGACCATTGAGGTACCAACTGCAGAAAGAGATTTCTAATTTTTCTCAAGAACATAAAATCCAAGGTTGCTTCAAACTTAATGGTTATCCACAATGGTACAAGGATCTAAAGGGACAGAAATCCAATCAATTGGTCAATTTAGCTGAGAGTGATGATCAAACCGAGAAGAGAAGAAATGGAGGAAACAGGAAAACAACAGAAGATCATTGAGGGAATGCCTGATATTAGCCTATTGATTCAGAGAAAAACTGCAAAGTATTTGTCATGGCAACAAGTTGAGGAGTCTTCATGTTATTCACATTTTGCAGATATCTCATGTAACATAAATCACATTTTGCGACGCGGAGGATGGACTCGGCGGCAAGAAATGAATACACTCATGGTCTTTCCTATATCTGCACTTGTTTAAGAAGTGAATACACTCGTGGACTACAGTCACATCGTCAAGAATTTGTCTCCCCGGGATGAAGACAGCCTGCTCACTTATACAACAATGCAAGACATCTCGAATTCTGTTTGCCAAAATTATTTATATAACCTAGTAAACATTATTGTCCAAACTAAAAGCCACAAAACTTCCAGCTTGTCTTGTCTGTTTAAACCCCTTTGTTTTTATCATTGCAAGTAATATCATTAAAATCACTACAAGCTCACCACAAATCTCCTCAATCATCTTTATACCCTGATATATTCCTCCCTTTGTAGCTTCCTGAGTCATTCATCAACACTTGCATAAACAAATATAAGCCAAAGTTTTTCTACAACACCCTCATAGTTGCAATTGATTTGAACTGTAAAGTCTCTTTTGATTATTTTTGCCTTGAGAATTCCCCACATCCCATCTGTCTTTAGCCCTAAGGATTTTGCAAACTGTATGTACAATTTTTTGTTTGTTTGTTTGTTTGTTTTTTTGGTTTGTTTCACACAAAAAGACCACATCTCCTAAATACTAAAAAGGAATTGCTAAACACAACCTCTTTTTTACTATCTACCGCCCCTCTTGGATCGTTTTGCCCCTGACACTCTTTTGTTTAAAAAAAAATAAATAAAACAACGGCCGCTCGGCAATGCCGGCTGCCCCACGGTAAGCCGTCAGGCAATTGCTGCCGTGTTTTTTTTTTATCAATTTTTTTTTTAAATTATGTTAGAACTTAGAAATTGTTATGTTATAAATTATAATTGATTATCCTATAGAATTTATTATTATTATTATTATGTTATAAATTAGAATTGATTATCTTGTAACACTTATTATTATTATATTAGAACTTAGAAATTGTTATGTTATAAATTAGAATTGATTATCTTGTAGAACTTATTATTATTATGTTACAAAAAAAAAAAAAAACTTATAACATAATAATAATAATAATAATAATAATAATAATAATAATAATAATAATAATAATAATAATAACAATAATAATAATATTAATATTAAATTCGATAAGATAATCAATTCTAATTTATAACATAATAAATTCTAAGTTCTAACAATAAGATAATCAGTTATAATTTATAACATAATAAATTCTAAGTTCTAACTATAAGATAATCAGTTATAATTTATAACATAATAATTTCTAAATTCTAACCATAAGATAATAAATTCTAATTTATAACATAATAATATCTAAATTCTAACATAGTTTATATAACAAATTGATTAGTGAAAAAAATTGCTTTTTTTACTTTTTGAAAACCAGGGACAAAATTGCCCAAAAGGGGGCGATATGTAGTAATAACTAATAAGAGGGCGGTGAATAGTATGGTTGAGCATGAGTCTCAGAAAATTTTCAACCGTTCCAAAAATCGAACTGAATCCACTTCGAACCGAAAATTAATCGTTGACCGTTTGCCTTTCTCCGAACTGAAAAAAATTGGTACGGTTCTGGAGATTTCACAAATATCTGTACCGAGAATTGGACTGAACCATCCCATACCTTACCGAACCCAAAAACCGAATCATAACATTAGATGTATGTTATTATATATTTTATTTCAATTTTAATCCTATATAGGCCTTGTTTGGCGATCAGCGGATAGCGGATAGTGGGTAACGGATGAAGAAGTTATGAATTTTATATTTTTCTAGATAAATTAATCATATAGATGACATATTATTATTTATTAGCACCATAAACCAATGTAGATTGTAACATAAATAATACAAATTAATAAGTTCTAAATAAATGATTTTTTGTGAATCATCTATTCCCAAAACGCTGCTCTAATGAGATTTTTTTAAATTAGAGTTTTGGGCCCAAAAAAACTTATCAAATAAGCTATTTACCAAACATGCTCAATAGCGGATTTGACGGGTCAAACCTCTCAATTAAGTCCAATCCGCTATTTTTATCTTCAATCTGCTATCTACCAAACGGGGCCATAATTGAAAATTATTAAAATGCAAATAAAATATATTAACAATAATTAAGCTTCACAGCTAGGGGTGTGCATAATTCGACTAAAACCGAAAAAACCGACCGAACCGAAAAATTCGGTTCGATTTTTATTCGACTCGGTCGGTTTTCGGTTTCAGTCAAATAATTTTCGGTTATTTCGGTCGGTTTCGGATTTGGACATCAAAATATCCGAATTAACCGAACCGACCGAAATAATATATAACATATATATATATATATATAATATATATACTGTACTTGTTGAGTCAAAAGTTGGGTGGTGTGCCCATTTTCTTTGAAAACAACAGAAAGAAAAAAAAAAAAAAAAGGCAGCAGCCTTATGTTGAAAAAGATTAGTACACTTTTGTGGAAGAAATTGTGCAATTGGTTGTTGCACGTGTGAAGGCTAAAAGTGGTTGCTGAACATGATGCATTTCTCTTCTATAAATAGAGGAGCAATCTGATGAGCAAAGACACACAACAAAATACAGAGAAAGAGAGAAAAAAGGAGTGAACTAGAAAAGAAAATTTTATTAGCTTCTGTGTGTATTTGTGTTGTGAGTTGTGAGTGATTTTGAGAGTGTTTTGTAAACACGAGTGTAATTTTTTTTCCAATAAAATATCTGCAGTAGTCCGGAGACGTAGTGTCCAATTTTTTTTATTTCACTTTTATTGATCCGACTTCATGGAAATTTCAGCGTATTTTTTCCCAACAACTGGTATCAGAGCCAGATTGTTAATTCTGTAATTTTTTTTTGTGTGTGTTACTATTCCGTAAATAGTGAAAACGGGAATAGTGCCAAATTTGTCGGCGCTACAAATTTATCTACCGACGTGTTCTGAAACACGGTAGTTCACAAAATTACAGAAACGATCCGGCAGAGAAGTCAGATCAGAGTTGAAGTGATGGTTGCAGACGAAGGAAAAATGAAAATCGAAAAGTTCGATAGTGCGGACTTTGGCTTTTGGAAGATGCAGATCGAGGATTATCTGTACCAGAAGAATATGTATCAACCATTCACGGGAAAGAATCCAGAGGACATGAAGGAGGAAGAATGGAGTCTCCTTGACAGACAAGCCCTTGGAGCCATTCGGCTGACGTTATCCCGTAATGTTGCTTTTAACATTGCAAAAGAAAAGACGACAGCAGGCCTCATGAAGGCTCTTTCCAACATGTATGAGAAACCATCAGCCCCAAACAAAGTTCATTTGATGAGGCGATTGTTCAACTTGCGTATGACCGAAGGTGCTTCGGTGGCACATCATCTCAATGAGCTCAACACAGTTGAGTTCAGTTGAGATCGAGTTCGATGATGAAGTACAGGCTTTA